GCCCCAGCAGTAATGAACACACGCACATGCTTGTAAGATGACATGCCATAGCCACTCACTACCCTGATAATGATGATAACAACATTTGTAATGTGAATAACAACATTTGTAATCAAATTAACCACTCCGGTCATGCCCATTGGCAACTTCCACCATCTCCCTTGGAGGAATTAAGCAAATGGTAAAATGTGTTGACAAAATAGCATACAAGTACACCTGAAGAACATCATAATATGTTTGTATTAACATTCAGACTTTACTACATGTATAATGGAATTGACTACTGAAGTGATGATATTTACCAAAAACCAGTACGCCTATGACAGAAGTTACATAACTTGTATTCAAATGACATGTTAACATTAAGATTAAACCACCACCTAATGTTTCCTTGTCATTCAGATTACAAACATATCCTACCCAGTTAACATCATTTACAAAAAGGATAACCTCTCTATCAGCTATTCTCCCAAAAAAATTAAGGGTTCAAAAGTTATTCTATTTACACTAAAAAAATTACTCCTCAATGTTAAACCCAATGTTAGATGTCATCAAAGCCTGCTAACCTGCAACAAAGAAGCATAAATCAATATTTTAGTTCCCCAATAATCAATTTCATTTATCTTTCGAAATACCCAAAAAACACACACACACCCACTTACTCCATTAACAACTTAAATATAGGATTTTACAACTTCACTAATGAGTTTAACAACACTGACCACCTCATGCTTACTGTTTGTCATCATTTTTCCATTTCCGACGCGTCACTCTCTCATCCTGGTCAAATTCTTCATCCAAACCCTCTACACTCACAGACCCATCCCCATTCGAGATTGCAGCAAAAAACGAGTCAAGAAATCGAGTGATACTAGCGTTTTAACGGAAAAATTGCTTACCTTTTCCCTCTTTCCAGATTTCGACCCTTGCTCTAGCTTCATTTTCGCAGCTCTCTCTCTCTTCTGGTATAGTATTGTTTTCTTCCGGTTCATATACTTCAGAGAGGTTCAGGGCATTTTAGTCTTTCTACCGAATTGACAAAATTCCAGATTGATACCCCATGCCTATTTGGTCATTTCACTTATTTGCATGCCCATTTTGTCATTTTCAATTTCAACAGTCATTTTTTTGTCATTTTCCCAAATTTTTATGATCTTATAAATTATAGATTTACTTCTTGACAATTATTGGTGTCCTTTTATTTTGCTGAGAAATTGCCCAAAGCCAACGGCCAACTCCGCGTGCGCGTAGGCCCCACACTAATGAATTATTGTCCTCCTCCTTTTCCTCAATAATATCTTCAATGATTCATAAAAATATACTCCTTCACTTCAAAATATAAATTAAATTTTATCTATTATATTTATCAAAAAATTAATTAAAATCAATTTAAAACAATAAATATGTAAAGCATATATTTATTTTTTCTAATATACTCTTACTAATGAAGAAAATAAGTAAAAGATATAATAAATGAATTAAAGAAAGGAGAGAATATATCATGGTAAATTGAAAAATCTTATTAAATGCTTGGACAAAAGTAAATATTAGCTTATAAAAAATCCAACCATTTTAAAAAATTTTAGCTTATATTTTGAACGGAGAGGAGTACTACATTCGGTACTAATTATAAGATCTTATTTATAAATTACAAATAAAATCTTATAATTAAGATAGAAGGTAGTATCATACTCTTTATATTTAGAGAAAATTGCAATAAGATTCCGTCCAAAAAAAACTAAATATAAAAAGATCTTTTAAAATTATCAAATTAATTTGAGACTTCATTGCAAAAGATTTTATTTGTTTAATTACTAAATTTTTCTTTTTCTTTTTTTAGGTATGCATTGACAACTGATAGAGCCATTGTTAACAACTTAAGGCGTAATAATTAATAATAACAAGTACTAACAACTCATGTATTATATTTTTGTGATGTGCTGAAAAAATATATTGTTAATACCTGTCGTGATAGTTGTTAATCGTTACGTTTTGAGCTGTTAATGACTGCTTTGTCAGTTGTCAATGCATATTAAAAAAAAGAGTAATTTGACAATTAAACAAATGAAATTTCTTCCAGTGAGGTTCCTGAAGACTTTAGATTAATTTGATGATTTCAAGAAACATTTTATATTTAATTATCTTAGATGAGACTTTATTGCAATTTCTTCTTATATTTGTAAGTCATTTGGAAAGAAAAAAATTGTTTCTAAATATAAATTATGTGTAGGGTATTTAGTGAGCTTTTTATAATTTTATCCCTATCAACTTAATAAATGAAAAGAAAACTAAAGTAAATAGGTGAAAGAAAATATAAAAAAAAGTTAAGGTACATCTAACACCTCAAAATATTTTTTTAGGTGCATCTAGCACTTAATTTTTTTTTTGCTTTGGTGTTGAATGCAACAAAAACTATGTTAGGAAGTTGGACACCCCTAAAATAATATTTTAGGATACTAGATGCACTAAAATATATTTCATAGTTTTGGATGCACTTAAAAAGATACTTCAGGGTATTATATGCATTACAAAATTTTTAAGATGCTGAATATACTTGAGAAAATATTTAAAGTTGTTAAATGCACCGTAACCCTTTTATAAGGACAAATATAAAAAAAATATAAATTTATCGTATTTATTGATTTGCGAGCTTGTAGTATACGTGACTTAGAAATTAGAATAGAGTGGTACTACCTTTCATCCTAAATAATAAATATAATAATTAGTCTATGATGTAATTTACACTATAAATTAGTTCTTATATTTAGGATGGGAGGTAGTAATATAACTCCACTTTTACTAGCACCTTCTGTGCTTAATATTATTTGTTTTCCAACAATTAAATTTTAATTAACTCCTTAGTAGAGTAAATTTGAAGAAATATCTATGAAAGACACCAATTTAAATATAAAAAATTATACTCTAAATACCATCCCTCTTTTGCATTCCTTTTTACATTTAAAATTTAAAAAAATATAAATAAAATACACATCCAATCCTAAATATAAGGCTTATTTATTTATACCCATTTTAGTATAAAATAAATTTTATATTTATGACAGAATAGCGTATTATTTCGGGTAAAAATATTAGATGACATAAAGAGCATTTCATCATTTTCCCAAAAGTCACCGGTTCCTATTCAACCGCCTGCGTCAAATTTTTTTTTTTTTTTCAGAATGCAGATACATGCATAATTATCACTTCCTCCCGTTCAAAATTTTATTATCAAATAATTAAATTATACGACTCAGAAAATTAGTTAAAATTTATTAAAGATAATAAATATATAAAAAATGAAACTTGTTTGCTTAAAACGTTTTTATTCTAATAAATTTTTTATAATAATTTTATTTTAATGCTCCTTAAAATTTTTCAATCAAACATATATTTGTATTTATATTAGAATAATAAATTCATATCTATTTTTATAATTATAAAATCCGAATTAAAAGAATAAAATTTCCTAAAAACGTAATATAATTGAAATTAATTTATAATTAATTATTTGAATAAAATATTAACTATCTAATTATTTCATAATTATATAAAAATTAATTTAAATTTATGATTAATATTTTATATTTCAATATCATTTATTTAATTAGTTTAAGTTAAATTATAAATAAAATTAAAAAAACACGGAGAGGTGACGCGATTAAAAAATATGTAAAATTATAAGGATTTGATAAAAAGAACTACAAGAACCTAATTACAAATTATTTAAGACCATAAGAATTTCCAAAATAATTATCCCTATTTTACTGCTATCTTATAGTGATAAATTGATGAAATCTTGAATTCCTCACGTCCAAAGAAAAGATTCTAACATTTTTTTATTTTTTTAAAAATCATAAAAATTCAAAACAAAATCAATTTGTTACATTATATAGCACTCAATTTTTTTAATACAATTTTTTAGTTGTTCAGTTCGCCATGAGTATTTTCTTTTTATATTTATTCTGTATTTGCTTTTCCATATGTTGTTTTCATATACGCCATGCATACTAAAAGTAATTTTCTTATCTTTAATCAACGACCCCCTCTTACTCTGAATTGACGAAGAAAACTACTGCACTTGTTAATCTCTTGTAAATCTCTGTTTTGTGAATGAGTTTCAGTTTTCACTCGGAAAAGAAAATTCTCTAAACATGCAATTACTCCATGCGTACATAACATAAGTTATTTTTAATAATTTATCAAAAGTAACAAATGATAATTAACTCATTAAATCTGTTTTAAATTTATTTTTTTTAATTTTACCCATATCAACTGAGATTGTAAAGGAAAGAGAAAGACATAATAATTTGCTACATTTTAAGCACAGGGATAAAATTAATCAATAAATATTAATTTTTTATACTTTAAATGAAATTATTTTTAAGAGGACCACGTCACTTGGACATTGTCCAATAAAAACGTACCAACTTAATTAATTGGAGGCCCACATGTCAGCTTATCTGAATGTTCTATGAAAATATTCTGCTGCAAGCCTGCAAATCCCCTTTTTTTTTTTTTTTTGGGGCCTGAATTCTGCTACAAGTCGCCTATATGAAAATGAGTCCCGCAGACTAACATATTGATTGAGTTGGTGTGTTTTTATTGGACAACATTCAAGCGACGTGGTTGTCTCTGAGCACCTGAGAATTTCTAGCCGCTTGCAGTAGAAGGGACTACTTCCCTGTAGTAGTTTATATACAATTAAAACGATAAGCATATTTTGTCAACTTATAAAAACATTTTATGGTATCGGTATCATAAAAAGAGGCTGTGATCTGTCTCTTTCCTTGCACCATTTCATGGCCTCCTTACTGTCACTGTCCAGCCTGCCCTTCCACTATTCCAGGATTCATTTTCCGTACCAAACTTTGAATTAAGCGCATCTAATTTTACTTTTGAGTTGGAGACTTCTGGTTTAGACCCTTTCCAGTTAATATTAGTGCTTGATGGAATATTTTATTGCGTTTTGGATACGCAATGCAATCGAATAAATTGAACCCATGTGTATGTATGAACTCATTTTCCCTCCGGTAAGTCTGGGAGCATTTTCACTGTTTTCAGAAATATCACCCATTCCCGAAGAGATCATGGCTGTGTCACTTGTAGGCGGAGCTCTTCTCTCTGCTGCCTTCAATGTGGTTTTGGAGAGATTAACGCCTGAGCTGACAGATTTCATCAACAAAATCGGTGGAAAGAAGCTGGATCACAAGTTATTTAATCATTTGAAGCCATCCTTGTTTGCTGCAAGAGTTGTGCTCAACGATGCAGAACTCAAACAATTCGCAGATCCTGCTGTGAAAGCTTGGCTAGATGAACTCAGAGAGGCTGTCTATGACTTGGAAGACTTGATGGATGAGATTTCCACCCGAGATGCCACTCAGAAAAAGGTGAGCTATTTCTCCTTTGCTTCTCTTAGTTTGCGAGATACAAGCATGGCAAATAAGTTAGAAGTTATCAGCGATAGAATTGAAAAAATTGTGGGGCAAAAAGATGCTCTTGATTTGAAGAAGACAACTGGAACAGGTTCAGAAACTTTGTCCTGGAGGTCTCCAGTTACATCTCATGTGGAAGTCTCTGAAGTGTACGGAAGGACGAAAGAAAAAGAAGATATAATTAAGCTTATGTTTAGTGGTGAGGGTGGTCCGTTGTCTGTAATTCCCATTGTGGGTATGGGCGGGGTAGGGAAGACCACCTTAGTTAATTTAGTTTATAATGATGTCAAGCAAAACTTTGATCTTACTGCATGGGTTTGTGTTTCTGAAGCATTTGATCTTTTAAAAATAGCACAAACTATAATAAAATCTATTAGTCTAGATTTTGCATGTGATAATATGGATTTGAATCTTGTTCGACTTCATCTGGTGGAGAAGTTAGAAAGGAAAAAATTTTTAGTTGTTCTTGACGATGTCTGGAATGACAAATACACTGATTGGGATACCTTAAAGAATTTGCTTTGCAATGGAGTGGGAGGATGTAAAATTCTTGTTACAACTCGTCTAAAGCATGTTGCTTTGATGGTCAAAACCACCTCATCATTTTATCACTTAAATGTCTTGTCTGATGACGATTGCTTGTCAATTTTCGCTGCACATGCTTTCCAAGTTAGAGATTCAACGATGAATTCACACTTAGAAAAAATTGGAAGAGATGTTGCTAGTAAGTGTAAAGGATTGCCCTTAACTGCAAAAGTACTTGGGGGACTTTTTAGATCAAAGCCTAACTTTGAAGACTGGGATACTATATTAAAAGATTCTTTGTGGGACTCATTAGACAATGAGATCATTCCAGCTTTAAAAGTTAGTTATTATTATCTTCCTCCCCATTTAAAACAATGCTTTGCTTATTGTTCTTTATTCCCGGAGGATTATCCATTTGATAAGGAAGAATTAATCTTGATGTGGATGGCAGAAGGTTTCTTGCAACCATCAAAGCGAAATATGACTTTAGAAGAAGTTGGTCAAGAATACTTTGATGATTTAACTTCAAGATCATTCTTTCAACCCTTAGTATCTGAAACTGTTGTGCGCTTTGGGATGCATGATCTCATTCATGAGTTAGCAACTCATGTTGCTGGAGACTTTTACCTTAGATTAGGGGAGAATGGAAACAAAATTGGTAATAAGACACGCCATTTATCTTGCAACTTTCAATATTATCCCAGTCATGAGGTTTTTCAAAAATCAAAAGGCTTACGAACATTTATAGGATTGGATTTTTTCTATCTCCCTGGGTCTATTGGAAATGCTTCTCATATTGTATCATCAAATTTGAAGTCCTTGCGGATGCTGTCACTTGAGGGTTTGTCGTCTTTAAAGATAGTTCCTGACTTAATCGGGGAATTTATCCATTTGCGCTATTTGGATCTATCGTGGACAGGTATTAGAAGTTTGCCTGATTCAATATGCAAGTTGTTTAATTTACAGACGTTGAAGTTGTGTTCATGTTCATCTCTTGAGATGCTACCAAGTGACACGAAAGATCTTGTAAATCTTCGGTATTTGGATCTATCTTCCTCAAGGAAGATTGTAAGTTTGCCTGACTCATTGTGCGAATTATACAATCTACAAACATTGCGGTTGGGATATTGTTATTCTTTGAAGATGCTGCCGAGAGATATGCAAGATCTTGTAAACTTGCGACATCTTGATGTAGTAGGCACTAGCTTGAAAGAAATGCCGAGGGGATTGGGTAGCTTAAAAGAGTTGAAAATTTTGAGTGAATATGTTGTGGGCGCAGACCAAGGGACCGGAATTGGAGAATTGGGAGGAATGTCAAATTTGATGGGTGGGATTGAAATTAGTAAATTGGAGATTGTCAAGAATGGAAAAGAAGCCTACGAGGCGAGGATGACGGAGAAGAAGCACATTAAAGGGTTGAGATTATCATGGTCTAGAGATGGTGACGTGGAAGACACACGAACTGAGAGAGCTATTTTGGGAAATCTTCAACCTTATTGGGGTTTAGAAGATTTGGAAATTAGAAATTATAGGGGCACAATATTTCCGGATTGGTTGGGAAGTCATCGCTACCAGAACATGACTATGTTGCAATTGACAGGGTGCAAAAACTGTTGCATGCTTCCACCCCTTGGACGGCTCCCCGCTCTAAAGGAATTAAGAATTAATGGATTAAATGGGGTAAAAAGAATTGGTGATGAGTTGTTGAAGGGAGATGATTGTGCTTCCATAATACCATTTCCATCCCTTGAAGTTCTTGATTTTTTTTCGATGACTTCATGGGAACAATGGCATTCCATTAACATGGAAGCTTTCCCTAAGCTCCGACTACTCAGAATATATGATTGCCCCAAGTTAATTGGAAATTTACCTCGCCGGCTGCTTTCTTTAGAAACCCTGGTGATTGAACGTTGTCCATTTTTTTGTTCTGGTATTCCGAGTTGTCCCAAACTTCAGAAACTAGTGACTGATAGAAGTGAAAATGTGGGGTGGCAAGAGCAAGAGTTACCTTCATGCCTTTGCGAGCTAAATATTACAGGATGTCAGATGTTGGAATCAATGGCAGAGGCACTCTCTAAACATTCGCATTTACAACAATTAACTATCACTAGTTGCTCTAATATATCACCTCCAATTATTCATCTGCCCCAGTCATTACAACGTTTACAAGTACGATGGTGTGAAAATGTTGATTTTGTGATGAGTTCAATTGCTTCTCTTCAAAATCTCCAGTCTATCAGTATTGCATCGTGTAATTTTGTGAAATTTATTTGGGATGACATGGAAGGCCTTCTCCCGAATTTAAGAAAGCTAATCATTGAGCATTGTGACGAGATGGAAGCATTTCCAGAAGGGATCCTTGTGGCAAGTTTGAGGGAACTTATTATTGTAGGGAATAGTAAGCTATTATCCCATCAAGCAGAGTGGCACCTCCCAAGTAATATCACTTACCTTCATATGTATCGCTATAGTAAAGTGAAGTGTTTCCCAGAGGGGTGTTTTCTACCTGCCACTCTAACCACCCTAGAACTCAATGGCTTTGATTGCTTGGAGACATTGCATTGCACAGGACTTCAGCACCTAACCTCTCTCCAACGTCTAAAGATCATCTATTGTCCCAAGCTGGAGAAAATGTCAGGAGAAAAGCTGCCTGCTTCTTTAAGAAAGCTTCACATTTGGGGATGTCCGTTGCTTGAAGAAAAATACCACAGCAAGGATGAACAATTTTTCCGCCAGATATCTCACATCCCAAACATCTACCTATTCTGGAAATGAGATACAATTAATTATGGATGAGGTATTTATTGTCCACACTCATGTTCCCAACTATTACATTTTATTTTCTACTACTTCATACATGCATTCACGCACCATTACACTTCCATATAATTAAATGTTCCTCAATAGTGTTGATTTACTTGCATTGTTGGAATCACTTCTTGCATCGGTTAATCTTTTGATCATTTATATGATACTAGCAAAATTATTTGTTTCTCGGTGTGCTCTGGATTCCAGCTCGCTCTCTGTTTCTGTAAACCTACTTATAGCTATTTTTCTTTGCCTTCTTTTTTCATCTCCCCCCCTCTTGCATAAGCTCGTCGGGTCTATATACTAATGTAAATAACCATTTAACTGACTGCTTATACGTTGAGATAAAAAGCATGATTATTATCTTTAGAGATAAGAAAACACTTACTTTTTCAGAACAATCACGTGATTTTAACTAACTAATTAAACCTATTCGGAAAACTTCATGAACTAAATAGTGGCAGCAATCTCGTGTGTAGATTCCTCTAAGCTTATACCAATCATGTAATGAGGAATTATTAGCAAAAAATAATCATGAAGGTACACTTCCAGACAAGTTTATGTCTGCATAACAAATACCATTTCTTGTTTCTTTTTTGTTAAATCTTCTCTGATGGAGTTTTTCTTTTTATGGGGTTGTTGCAGATAGAGTCCAACATGGGTAGTTCTAATTGGCAAAAGCAAACTCAATGCTTTTTCTTTGCAAGGGGTAATGCTGCAATTAAGTCCCCTTCATATATTCCTATTCTAAAGAGGCTTGAACTAAACCAAAGCCTTTGATTTTCTTCTTTCTCTCATAATCTGCTTGTTTAATTAACTTTTCTACCCTATATTTTCCTTTGATTCTTATTAACCAGACGATCTTCATTTCCATTGCCTTTTTTCTTTTCCCCCCTTCCTTGGGCTGTCTCTAGACTTATCATATGCTTAAAATGCAGCATCAGCAAGAGTGACAGCAAGGGATTTGCAGACTTGAAGTCTTGAACCTGTGCTGATGAAAATTGACAGAATATTCCCTGATTTTCTGGATTTTTTTTTGTGTGGCTCGGGTGCATTATTCTTTTTTTTTTTTTTTCCAAAGAAACTTTTGGTGAAAGTGTGTGTGGTGAATCTGTACTTCTGTATATAATGGCTTTTTTTTTTTTTTTTCTGTTTGCTTAAATGTTGGGATGAATATGTGTATAATGTATTTTGAATACTTATTACTTATAAAATTCTCAGGTTTCATGCCTGGGGGAGAGGATGTAGGATTCAAATTTTCTTTTTTGGATCCGAACCTCTATATATCGTGGTGTCATCCTATTATATTTAAATCATCGAACGAAAATGATATTTTCAAGAAATCAAGCATGCTTGAAATCAACGTTACTACACTTAAGTTTAACAGACAAAGCACAAGCATGTTTAGAAGGCTTTAGCTAATATCCAGACATTTTCAATGCAATGTATATATGCATGTGGAATTATCCGTATGTGTATGTGTTAGAAAGTGAGTTTTCACAATATAAGGTATCACAAACAAAGCTCATATATATAAGAAAGAATAATCAAAATCTTCTCTCTCTCTTTTTTTCCCCCTTTCTTTATCTTACACACAATCACCACAGAGCAATATCTCCAACAAAACAATGCTTAAAGAGAATATATACTAAATAACAATATCTGCAATCAATATTAAAATTTGTATCCTAAAAGTAAATTCTTCAAAAACATCTATTATTCAAATGAATCTCACACATGTCTGCATAAAATTAACAAAAATTTCTTTAAGAATAAAGAAGATACAAATTCCACGTGGACATATATTTATTTATTTGTTTTTGTTAGGCGTACATATGTGTCCTTTTATTAGAAATAAACGGTAAAGTAATAACCCAATTCAGATTAACCAAAAAGATGTTGGGCTGAAATTGAAACTAGCCCAGTCCAAAATATTTCCGAACCTAATTATTTTCGTTAAAGGTAGTTAAAAGCAAATGTAACCTAGGCGTTTTCAATTTTTCATATTCTCAGAAGATCCATCTGCTTCAAGAAAGAGGTAAGGAGAGGGAAAGATTTGCGCCGAGGAAACAAGGGAAAAATGGTGGTAGAAGATACCCCAAATTCTTCTATTACTGACGATCAGATCAGTACCAGTAGTACAAACCCTAACCCCAGGGTTCGTGACTCCGACGAGGATGAGCTCGAGGAGGGAGAGATCGTCGGAGAAGATGACTCAGCCACTTCGAAGGCATCGTCCGCCGTCGTGCGTCAGCCTCACCCGCTTGAGAATTCTTGGACCTTTTGGTTCGATAACCCCTCTGCCAAGTCCAAGCAAGCAGCCTGGGGAAGTTCTATGCGAAGCATCTATACCTTTAGTACTGTTGAGGAGTTTTGGAGGTCAGGCTTTTTTCTTTTTTTTGGTCATCCCCTTATTTTATTTTGTGATGTCACTTCCCTGTCTTGATTCTTTATCGGTTTATATCTCGCTTTTATTTGTTTGGCTGCTGGGGAAATTGACATCACACATTCGAGAAAGTTCTTCTTGGGCCATTAGTTAATTCAGTGATTTGAGTTTTCGAGTCTGGTTCTTACTGAGTTGACTGACATTAATTTCGGTGAAGAATTGGGAGATCAGATTTAATTGTTGAGTTGTGTGAGATAGAAAACCTGGAGCTTGGCGCACATAACGCCCCGAACTTTTGAGTTATGCACAGCCCACAGATAAATCGTGGAGATAACTTGACTCTTCAGCACTTACTGATTCCCAGTCTCCAAGTTGTGTACATAGCATGTTTCTCGCAGATGCCCTTAACTGTGCTTATCTTCCCTTTTCTATCTTGTACCTGTTTCCAGTGATGAGCTATGATGTTTGTTAAATTGTATAAACCTGTGGAATTAGGCATCAGCTGATATCATTTGTGTTTATAGGTATTGAATGACAATAAGGTCACGTTAATCCTTATCACTTTTGAAGTCACCAGTTTGGAATATGCTCAATCTGTTTGTAATTTTTCATGCTAAATGTCAATTATTACTGCTGCAATTTTTTGTTTTTCAATCTTAATCGCCTTACTTTATGTGTATGTACATAGACCATACTATTTACACTATTCGCCTTTAAGGAAGTTCTAAACTGTATTGTTAAAGGCTATGAATTTGCTTTTTATAAGTTTCTTTTAAAAAAAAAAAATCTGCTGATCAATTTTAAAGGGTGAGTTTATATAGTTTTGCTTGAACAGTATTTTTACAACGTTAAGCTTCATATTTACTTCTGCTGTTTAATTATTGTTGCTGCAAACGTTCATCATTCAGTGTTTACAACAACATACATCATCCAAGCAAGCTGGCTGTAGGAGCAGATTTTTATTGTTTCAAAGAGAAAATTGAGCCAAAATGGGAGGATCCTATTTGTGCTAATGGAGGAAAATGGACTGCCATATTTCCTAAAGGGAAATCTGATACTCGGTGGTTGTACACGGTATGATTTAGAATCTGTGATATATAAACATTGAAGGAACTAAGGAACTAATTTACATGAAAATCAACTAATTTTAGAGAGTTCTTTGTGATGAACTAACATTTTGTCACGTTAACTCCAGTTGCTGGCAATGATTGGCGAACAATTTGATCATGGAGATGAAATTTGTGGAGCAGTAGTAAATGTTAGAAAAAAGGAAGATAGAGTTTCTATTTGGACCAAGAACGCTTCTAACGAAGCAGCTCAGGTAATATTTTCTTTTTCTCTAGTGGGGTTGGGGAGGGTGTGTCTTGAAAAGATTGTGTAGTTTGCTAGCTGATAATTTTCATTATCAGTTGTGAACTGTAGTTTCCTCGTTCTTTACTTGTTAAGAAGGTAAAGCTATTATTGTACCGTGCATCTCGTTTTAGATGGGTGAAATGTGCATTAATGGAATTAGTGAGTGAAGGGCTACCGTTGGCAGCATAGCTCCCAACTGAGATACCAGTTTTACTCTTGTATTGTGGTTACACACACACACACACTTTCAGAAGTAGGCAAATGATAGGCAGGACGCGTGTGATTTGTCTTTGTGAGCGTTCGTCACCTATTGTGATCTGAAGATCATCTGAATGATTTTTTTCTTGTTACAGGTAAGCATTGGAAAACAGTGGAAGGAATTTCTCGATTATAATGAAACTATTGGATTTATATTTCATGTAAGAAAGTCTACTAATTACTATGCTTATGTGTTTGTGCCCCTATTAACATGGAATCTGGCTAATGAATTTTTGATGTCTTGCTATTTCAACAGGAGGACGCGAAGCATGACAGGAATGCCAAAAATAAATACACTGTATGAACTATATGATTTTTTTTTCCCCCGGTAACTACTGTAGAACAATTTATACTTTGTTCCATGTGAGAACATGTAGCTCAAAGTAAACGTGACGGCTTCACAAGTGCAGAATTGGCGTTTTCCCTCAAATCACATTTTGCTTATAAATTGAATCAGCCCTCAGGTTGATTATGGGAAAGCATGAGCTGGACGTTGCTGTGTGAACATTACCAGTCCTGATCATGAGTATGTCCGAGAATTATTTTGGATTTTCGGTCGAACTTTGATTTTCATACAAAGTGGAAATATTGGCTTGATGGCTTCCAAGGATTCTTCTGCTCTCGAATAACAACATAATAAATAATAAGAAGTTAAAGCTCATCAAATATTTCAAAATATTTTGTAAGATACATCCAGCGTTGAGCGTTGACGTACTTAGCCTTTTAGCATTTTTTTAAAGATACATTCAGTATCCAAAAATAGTTTTTTGTACATCCAACATTATGAGAAAAATTATTTTAAAATGCTAATAACACTTGAAAAAATATTTGAACATGCTTGAACCCAATGATTAAGAGAGTTACTCTGAAGTAGTAAGATGAGATCTAAATTCCTATTTTAAAACGCGATGAATAATATTAAAAATTACAAAATAACAAAATGTTACAAGTTATTAGTGCTACAAAATGAAGAATCCCTCGCGATCCTTAATCCAAGACAGCATAAGATTTGGAAATTAGAACGTTAACCTGTACAAGTAACAAATAAACGAGCGGCCATTATAAAATGTAGGCATCTCTTTCATTTGAAAATAGATATGCATTTACAGTTAATTTGTCCGTTCCCCTGGGCAAAAATGTATTAACAAGAGCAGGAAGAACAGCAAAAAGGCGTATCAATTAAAGAATTTCCCCTTCTTCCCAACATCCGTTCAGAACATCCTCATCTTCCTCAGCTATGTACTCCTTCTTCAAGAACAAACCCAAACGTTCCAAGGGGTTTGCCCGCTGGAGTCTATCTGATCCAACTGCCTGTCTCCGAACATGACATGATAACGTACACCCGCTTAACATTTCAAGCTCCTTAAAACTGTCCAGGTTAAACTCCGTAGATTTTTCCACCTACAATGAGCACACAATAGATTCGAACTTCAGCTTTTCAAGGACAAACGTCTTGGTAACATCGCTTGTTTCTTTTCTTTCTTTCTTTTTTTGGAAGGGGGGGGGGGAGGGGAAGGTGTTAGTGAGGCCAGACCTTGTCTGTCGCAATTCGGGCAGCTTCTCTCAGTTTTTCTCTCCGTTGCTTGGACTCTTCCTCAGTCCTCTTTTTCGTAGCAGCCTCAACAGCTTTGATTTGAGCCTCAATCCTAGCTCTTTCTGTCATCAGGTAAAACCAGATAATCATGAAACAGAAGTTGCAATCCAACAAGCATTGTTCATTTCCAAGTTCACAGTCTCTAATCACAATAAAATAGAACTAAATATTCTCATACGGAGATGAAACGAGTGGCACCACAAGGAAAACAACTATCATGCCAATTTATTGCAGCTAAATTGTAAAACCCAAATGTCTAGATGACCTCCTTTCGTATGGAGAAAACTTCAAAGGAGTAAAATGGGGCAGTCCAAGGAAGTTGAGACGGCTCAATTAGAGAAAGGCCACATGTTAATTGGTTTCTTAACAATGAATTTGAGAAAAGACATCAAATGAAGCAACCTCTTCCATAAAAAGGAAGGGTAGGTCCGAAATAAGGCAAGTGCAACGACAATCAGACAAATAACGCTAACAATTTATTCCATCAAATCACTAATTCTAACATAGAAAGAGATGTGCTATACTCACCTTCGCGCTCAAACCTTTCCAATCTTTCCTTTTCTTGCTGCATTTTCAGCAAATCAGCCTTATCACCCTAGAAAGGGTAGGCAGAAGATGTTAGCCAAGCCCACAAAATTCAAGATTACTCTTTACTCTTCTCAAATTCCTTACATGGTCAAGGAGTGTCTTTTGTTGTGCTTTTAAGATAGTCTCCGCAAAGCGGCTTTTAAGCATCGCAGCACGGAGAGCCTTCTTAGGTGACAGCTGAACATCACAAACAGGAGTGCTCCACACTAAATCATAATAAACGTAAAAGACCAATTAGTAATTAGCATCACTAAATCACAGCTCAAAAACAAAGCCTGTTAAAGCAATAAAGCAGAGGAGCAGCTAACCTTCTCCAGCAGAGGAGTCAATAGCTGAAGTCGTATGCTGCGTAGAGCATGCATGTTCACTATCCACAGCACTTACAGCCCCTTTTCATCATGTCAATAAGTTTTACATGCCAAATCAGTAAGAAAAGTAACACAGAAGAAGAAAATCACATCACAAACAGTAAAATCTCACCATCAGAATCAGGATCAGGATCAGACTTGCTCTGCAAAGCAATATGCATTTTGAAGATTAAATATATCATTTATTCCAAGATTTTCACATATAAAAGAAGTTAGTTAATTTCATTGAAGTTGTTAAGACTGTTCTCCATACCAGTCTCAACGGATCAGCACCAAACGCCTGTCGATCCCTTTCTTCTGATCCTTCAGAAGATAAATCTAAACCAATGCAGGCATATAAATGTCAATTAGGCAACAACTGACTTGGTCAAGCAGACACATCCAGAAGATTGTCAGCCTAACTACCTGAAGACGCACATGATGAATTGCTTGGAAGAGCACACTGGCAAGGAATGTCACCACATATATTACATTTATGACTGACAGGAGTCAGAGGACAGGCTTTGGCAGAACCAGAAATATGTGCCCAATTTTTCTCTTTGCGGCCTATAAAATCCACAGCTATTAGCTCTGTCTTAGAGCTATAAATACAAAGTCCAAATTGTACTCTTAATGTTTCATACCTTCATGTATGCCCTTTGCAGCTAATTTACAAGGAATCTGTGCTGTTTTGGGAACATCTACCTATAGGATGAAAGAGTATGAATTAAAAAATGCATTCCATAGATGCGACAAACAAAAGATTCACACAACCACCATAAGGTGATAGTGGCCTGGGGGGAAAAAAACCCATCATAACGTGACAATATCCAAAGAAGTAAACACAGTGACCAACAGATAGAGCTCACAAAAGCATCAAGTAAACAGCATCAAAAGAAAAAGTTCATCACATCCTTCAACATTCCAACATCCATTTTCCTTGTGGAAAAAACACTTACCTTATCCCCTCTTGCAGCAAAGGAGCTCCTCTTCTGAATACCATTCTGTTCAGGCAACCTTCTGGGAGAAAGTTCCTTTGGCAGGGATAGCTCCTCCACATTACAGCTTTTTCTCACGGTTTCCTTGATAGTTCCAACCACACATTTCCCGTGCTCAACTTCACAAGACCATTTTTTCTCCAAGTCTTTCCATTTTCTCTCAAAAATCTTTTTCAGTTCCTTTGCCATTAAATGAACATCATTACTAGGAGGGTTATACGTCATAGCATTTGTGAAGGTCAGCCTGACATCAGCAGCAAATTCCTCAATGCCATAGTATGTATATTTCTCCAGCTTCGTTTTGATTGTGCCTAAATCCATGGGTTCAGATATGATTGTAAAATAATCTGGAATGTTCAACGCTACAGGATCCACTGGCTTGCTAAAAACCCAGCTATACGGATGAGACATTAAACTCTTCAGAATGGTAGCACACTGCAGAGACAATTTCCGATCTAATTTCTGCCTCTTCTCCTGTTGGCTCACAATACTAACTTGTGGTCTCCGCTTATTGGAGGACTTCTTCAGATTACAGCAACCACTTTCGTTCAGGGCAGATAAGTTCTGCTGGAACTCACGTTTCGTCACAGGATCAACTTCAATAATTTTGGAGGGAAATTTTATCTTCAGTTTTCTGATAGGTACTACAGATTCTGTGGCAATCATAGTGATGAACTAAAGCAAGTTGTGTGAGGGTATTGCCAAGATATCCAAGTTCTCAAAAAACCATAAAGTTCAACCCGTTAGTGGCAAGGAGATCAAGCCTGCAATGCAATTACAAGTCAGATAATGGCCGAACATGTACCACCCATAGAGTAGATATGCGAATCTAATTTTAAATGTCACAACCACGGTTCTTTTTGGGGAAAAAAAATATTTTTCAATTGCAAAAGAAGAAATTGTATACTAATGCAGGCTTTTTAAAAATCCCTATCAGATAAAAAAATTTCTGCAGTTATAAGCACTAGTTTCTCGAAGCATAGAATCAATTACCGCTCAGAAATACCTCCTCTCTTTTTTTGCCATCAGAAATACCTCGTTATATGTATCTAATCGTAAGTAAGGATCCTTTCTAATCTTTGGATCATGAAATTATTCTCTCATCCCGCAAATCTAACCAGTATATATCCTTATATATCAATCTGCAATGCCCATGAATCTGAGAGACAAGGAATTGGAAATTGACACGGTAAGTAAAACAAATCGGAAAACAAAAATTGGCATCATGACACCCATTCATCCTGAATTAAATTCGTTTGTAAATGTGACACGCCACCAACTCCTGGAAAATTCTACCCGATAACGAAAAATTAAGAACAAAACAGAGAGAGAGAGAGAGAGAGAGAGAACAATGGGATGGGAAGATTTGCATAAGCAACCGCCCCGAAACATATTCAAGGTGATCAAGTTCGCCGCTTGCCGTAATGAAATATAAGGAACCGCGACGCACCCACAATTCTGATATCCCGATTTATACCCTCCACCTTCGTCGGCCATAGGAAATAAATCGCAAATCGTAAAAGAAATAAAACAAAAGGAAAACCTGCAAGACAATTAGGGCTTCAAAAAATAGCGTACCCAAATTTCACCAGAGAACGCCGAACTCGCAGATCGATGATGCATAAAAATGAGAAGAAGAGAGTGTGAAAGCGCCGACGCAAACCTCGCAACTTGACGAAAAGAGAGAGAAGGAGTGGGAAGATTTGGATTTAAAAGCAGTGCAATGTGATCCTAGGGTTTTATCTTCATTGACGCGTAAATTGTACGGCACTTTAGGAAGGTCTTAATTTTCATTTTTATTACATATTTAAAGCCAACAAATATTATTTGGTAAGGAAAAAAAAACAAATATAATAATATTAAACATGGTTTTATGTTGCCTGCCAAAAAAAAAAGCACATTTTTTAATGTTAAATTTTACATTTTAAATTTTTTACCAGATAAACTTTACATTTAAATAAATTATATTTTATATTAAATGATCAAATATTTAATTTAACAAATAATATGTTACGAAAATCGCATGTATCTTTTGAAAGATGTAAATTTATTCTTATACATTTTTAAATTTAAATTTAAATTTAATAACTAGTGGCAATATCATAATGGTATTAAAATTACCTATATTTATTTTTAAATATATTATTGTTGGCCCCACGATTAGTTTTATTCCTTATTTATCCTTAACTTGGGATATTTTGGCTTTCACTAGGATTTGCAGTAATAAAATTTTGATTAATTGATTGGTGATGGATTATTAATAATTATTTATTATTAAAATATTAATTCCTATTCGTAACTCTTAAATTAATTTAAATCCTTTTTGCCAACAAATTAATTTAAATCTTGTCTCAATCAATCAAGCAATTAATTAATTTAAATCTTCTCCATGAGTTTAATGAATTAATTATTATTAATTAATTGAGTCAAAATCTAAAGAAAACTTGCTTATTAAGTTAATCTAGCGTTTTTTTTTTTGGCCATCGAAGTGAAAGGAGATAATAGATGTGGCCCCACAAAATAAAAATCAAGGAGATGTGGAAAATCGCTCTCTTTCTTTTACCAGAACAAAAAGAAAGCCCAAAAAAAAAAAAAATCGTTCTCTTCTAGGGTTTCACCTTTTGGCCTCTTTAAAACGAGACCTCAGTCCCAGCATCTGCAGATCTTCCTCTCGTCCGGCGATGCTCGAGCGAGAAGTGATTATGGTAATTCCTTTTGTCATTTTACTCTGTTTCTCAATTAGATAGATTATAGATTTGCAGTTTATGGGCTATGATCGGCGTTTATAATCGTTTTGTGACGGAGGACATTTCCAAATCCTTTACTTTATTGGGGGCAAACCAACTGTGTTTGCATATTCCCAAGTTAACGTCGCATACAAATGTTCGTCGACGTTGACGGATCTCTCGTTTGGGAGTTTCTCCGTCGATCTTGTCTCATATTCCATCGCCTTGTGGAGCAGCGTTGCTGCTATTACTTCTTGGGACTGGCCATGAGACGTACATTCTTGAGCTTTTTTTTATTTTGTTGATTTTTAATTTAATTCAATTCTTTGTGGGGTGTGTCATAAGAGGATCGAATCTCATATTTAAGGCCACCTTCAGAGACTGAACGGCGTTTCTGCCTTGCTGTTATATATTATTCTGAGGCTCTGTGTGATGTTCTCTTGCCAGTTTCTGATTATGATTTCTGTTTCTTTAGTGACGGGGATTTACTCAAGATCTCTTTCTTTTATTGGGAGCAAACTTCCTGTGTTTGCATGTTTCCAAGTTAACGTCGCATATAAATGTATACTGACGCTGATGGACTTTCCTCCGTTGGTTCTTGTCTCATATTCCATCGCCTTGTTGAGCAGCGTTGTTGCCATTACTTCTTGGGACTGGCCATGAGACGTACATTCATAGTCGATCAATAATTGCTTGTAGTGTTTGTTTGATGACATTTGTCATTAGATGTTCCATATTTTTCATAATTATAATTTATGGCATTCTATAGATATAGCCGATGATGATATCAGTCATCAAAATGCCATCTTTCGGGACTGAATGGCTTCTAAGCCTTGCTGTCATTCTGCAATTCTGAGGCTATTCATTTCAACGACGTTTTATGTGATGTGTTTTTTTGAGTAGCTTGCAATTTCTACTAGCTTGTTATTTGTTCAGTCAAAAAAATCAATGGTCAATCTTTGGAGTCAACTTAAGCATTATCTGTTACAAATTTTGACTAGGAAGTCCGCTTCTCCTTGGTTGCTGATGGTTTTCTGATATTTGTTCCTGTGTTTTATTACTATTTCTATTTCAGTTTCCTTTATAGCTCATTAATCACAGGCTTCTTTCTTCCACTTGCTTATGGTACTTATAAATTTGTCTCATTAGGTGCTTACGCTGCTACCCTTGGGACCAGAGCTTCTCAAAAATGTATTGCTGGAAGCAGTGGATTTCGTTTTGTTGTGTTTGAACTTTCACAATAAAATGCATTTGTAGTGTTGTTCCGTAAGGACTGTTTTACAGAACACAGAGCAACGCAACAAATGCATTCTAATGTGAGGTTTCTAGATCCTATGCTGAGTCGTGTGGATGAATTTGTGGCTCCAAAAGTCATGCTTCAAAATAGGACCTTGAACAGCACTATAAATGTGTTATGATATTAAGGCCTCCATGACCCTATGGCGTTGGGCATGGTTACAAGCTGGTTTTATTTTGGAGGTAATAATGTAACGGAATCTCATCCGTACTTGAGTTTTGGTAAGAAACATTGAATTGGTTTATTTATTTGTTATGTTCTCAACCCTAAGTGAAAGATCTAACTTATACTAACTTATACTTAAAAGTTTAAAATTGATTTTGCTTGCGCCTAACAAGGTGATCTTTTTTAGAGTGAAGTTATGAAGTTTCACTGTTATGCACCTTTTTTAAAAAAATTTCTCTAATCAATTTTGACCACAAAAAACTTTTCAGCGCTTTATAAAGGCACAATGAATCATCAACTTATTACTTCAAATCCTTTAGAACCTGGCTCCTCTTCTAACGCCAAACAGGTCAGCTTATTTTGGCGTTCTTGCTAATATTAAATACACAGGTTTGAAATATGAATTTCTTATTTTTCATTATGAAGAATAGTAACCGGTTAAATGTAATTTGATTGAATGAAATTGGCCTGATGTGGCTGCGAGTAAAGCGTTTTCTCCTCTAATCTCATCTTGCTTTGATATGCTATGCAAGTCTCCATGCGCCATTGCCTCTGTCAACTCTATTTTTCAGAAGCTGTGTCCAAATTTCAATGGCATGTTCTCTCATTTCAATTACTATATTCTTCTCATCTTTCTTTATCAGTCTTTACTAAAAACGTTTTTTCCATTATTCTTTGCTCCTTTCTCTTTTCAATTATAGAGGTTTGGATGTCATTGTGGCAAACAGTAAGGTAAATCGTTTGTTTGGTTCCATTCTTTTTCAAATGCATATCTAAAGTTAAGGGTAAGAACATGTGATCGCTCTTTCATTTCCTTTTGATTCCTTCTCACTTTTAAAATGTCAAGTGCTATTTTGTCTTTATTAGTCACTCCTCTCCTTGCTACTCTCTCTCATCAGATATTGGAAAAGGATGCTTATTGGTGTTCAGCTTGACAATCTGCTAAATCCTTTACCAGCTTCAAAGGTGCAGGGACAGATGTGTTTGATGAACTTCGTTCTCCATTCCTCACCCATTACCTTTGTTGGTGTTTGATTTTTCTTTTGTTTTATGAAGTGTGCGGTGATGAGGCAATTTATTGGACTAGAGTTTCTGATCTGGGTATTATGCTCAGAACTTGATTAACAAACCCTTGGCTGTCTGAGCACACCTTTAAGGAAGTTTTCAATTCCTTTTCTTGAGTTAGTATTTTTTCCCTTTTGAGGTGACCGTTTTGAATGTGTTGTTCAATTAGTTAAGAAAATTGGCTCGTGATGATACTTTAATTATCTTAGCGGATTTCGGTGAGATTTCTATCAATGATCTTATTGTTACACACACTGAAGCCTATTTTCTTTATGGATATTCTTTAATTTAACGTATTACATTAGATGTTGCTTTGGTTGCCCCTTTTCTGTAGTCGTGTTTGGTTTCTTAATCTTTGGGGGCACTGATAAAATGAAACACTTGAACATGTTTTAGGACAGTGGCCGTGACCATTCAGCTTCGCCCTGAGCCCTTTCCTAAGGACTTATCCTTGCACTGAGCACTGTGTACTAGTTAATTTCTTGATTGTGATTACTGTTTAAAGAGTTTGCATCTCTCTGGCTAGTTACTGAATAATTTCAGTGGGAATAAGATTGGATAGGATTTTATTCTGTTCCCAGTTAGTTTGGATTATGTCCTAGCGTGATCCTCCCTTGTTTTTGTAACATCTGGCTATGTGTTGCTGTGTTTGGACGAGTGATGGGAAAAAAGATTATGGGCTTTATCAGTAAATTGAAGTTCGTATGCTTTTCTGCACCTAGTGTCGTTTCGATCCCATCTTGAATTTGCAATTCTAATTTCTTATTTATTTGTAGAACTGTTAAAATTCGTTTCTCTTGTAATTTGTATTATTGAGTTTTATTTTTTTTGCTATGCAAGTGGAAGGCAGTGAGTATGGCAGGGCTGACGAATTTTTGAAGGGTTGCGGGAAGAAAATAATAATATATGGGTTCCATCTCCACAGGGTGCATGAGGTGTGGCCATGTAAGTCCTGCTGCATGAGACTCCTTTGGGCAAACAGGTTGTACCCTTTTAGGAGAATATTGATGGACGATAATTTCATTGGGGTGATTTTTGTCCTTTCGCTCTCTATTGCAGGACATTGTTGGTGATTAATGTGGTCTGGTGTAGATTTGATATGTTTTGTTAACCTTGTAAGCTTTATCACTTGCATGATTGTCCACTTCGCTGGTATTGTATTTCAAATTTCTTTAATGATAATTTTTTGTAATGATAAATTCTTTATTATTAGAATTTTGTTTGAGTGTTTTACGATTAAATTAGATGATTATTTGATGCACTTTCTTTCAATCGGCGGTCGGATAACATTAAACATAAAATTGTCGATATGAAAGGAAGGTGCAAAAGAAATCGGATCTTTCAAATTGCTGGTCGAAAAACAACGTGAGCGTGGGGAGACGTGTGTTAATAACGTTTTGACTCATCAGCTTGTAAAAATTATGATTGTAGTTAAAGTCATTTCTAATTTATATATGCTAATGAACACATTGGCGATCATTGAATTATTTTTAATATCCTTATTAATTATACTAAACTCTAGAACTATTAATTTTTATTCTCTTGCTATCTTTTTGTATTTTTGTGGTTAGCCTCTTATTATCATTATTAAATATGAGAATATATGGTTAAAAGGGTACATAGTACTCCTTGAAGCTGAGCAAATGCCTTGTGAAAAATACTTCCTAGTTGATCCATTATAATAACGGGGGAGTAAATAAATAGCCATTTTACAGTTAAATTTATTTTAATTGATTTTTTGTTTTGTTTTGCCAATTGATTGATGATTATTTTCTTTTTAAATTTTCTTACAAAATGGAAAGGCGTTAGCCAGTAACCATGAGAAGGGTTAATAAGCTTCAGACAGAGTAATTTTCTAGATTTTTCTATAGACTTCGTCTCAACTTTAACTCATCAAGTACTACAAACAAAGTGAGGATAGGAAAACAGTCTACAATTGCATGATTTGTATTTCATACGAATTGAAAACCGAAATCACCATCTAAGTTGAGAATTAATGCTTCTATCACCATCTAAGTTGAGAATTAATGCTTCTAACATTATGGAATTTTTACGTTATCATTGTTATCATTTCCTAAACCAAAAATAGTATTCCACGTCCATGTCTATTTTACCAGGCATATATTTATGATACGCCGAAAGTAAATGGAAGTTAAATAAACATTTTTCTAGAATAAAATAGAAGAAAAATAGCCAAACAGTATTTTACCCAGCTCAATTCTATTCCTTACCATGTCATTGTTACAATTAATTTTATCCAAAGTATATTTGAGCATCATTTTCAAGTGAATCTCATCATAATCAATGGCTGAGACTCCCCAATTATTTGGAGTTCAAATACACCGCATGATGACTTGATAAATGAAATCAAAATAACCGGCCAGAATTCGATATACTCGAACCATTTCTACACCCAGTCACGACAAGAAGTAAATACAATAACAATGATGAAAAATAAATACTGGACAATAAAAAAAAAATGAAGAGCCTTGCATTGTTTTTCACAAGACTATTTGTTACGGCACATGATTACGAGGCCTATGATACATTTATGGTGAAAAGTACTCAAAAATCTTCACCATTCTTGCGTCATTCCCAGTTCCAGTATTAGTTCATGAACCCCTCCAATTGTCATAGAGCTACCAAAACGATAACTGAAACCTCACACGTGATCTGCCAATATGCCACGAGTGCTTAGAATCTCTCATTGTCGTCTTAGCCTAATGCTGTGAATAATTCCATACATCACTCTTGCTCTCCGATTATTCGGGTCACAAGTCCAACAGCAATTGTCCTTCCTGATGCTCTTAGAGACACCCTTCCAAGAGCTTTGCAGCTAGAGGATTCTACCACACATACTGGCTCTTGCAAAATTACCTGAAATAAGAGATAACAAAATTTACTCCATGTTTATGTAGTGTTTGGGACTACAGACGAAGAGGACTAAATTTATTTTAAGATGATGAAAGATTGTTGAGACTAAGTTCTTTTATTTGTTCACCTCAACTACTGCACTCTGCTTTGCAATGAGACAGCGGGGGGACTTTTTTGTCACCTCCCCAGTCTTAGGATCAAGTATTGACAATATTTTTGAAACTCTCGCAGGCTCCTTGGCGTGGTGTACATGAAACTCTATCTGCACAGGGAAAAAAGGAAAATGAATTTTTCCTTTCTCTCTTCTACTAATAAAACAGGTGAGATTCATAGTTCCTACCTGCGATCCTACCAATATGGGATTTGCACCCTCTAACACAAGCACCTTCAACTCCAAATGACTTGCAACTTTAACAGGAAAATCAGGATGGCATAATACTGCTCCTGGCATCACATGACTTGCGTCTACACCATTCAACGCGACAGCTACATTATCTCCAGCTCTTGCAATAGTGCAAGCATTAGAATCACGCTCCAATGTGCGAACTGTCCCCAAAACAGCTGAAGGCATGACTAAGACCTGCAATTTCATATAGTTTGAAAATAAATAATTTTTTTCCATGCCACAGCAGAAATTCATTGTGAGCATTTCTCTCTTTTGATCAAAATGCATTAACACTCAAATACAAAGTCTTAAAGACTATTCTTGCAATATTAGCAACCAATAACAATAGTATATCACCGTACCCTAAGGTTGGGATAACAACAATGAGAAAAGTACGCACACCTATTCAAACCAATATAACAAGATATGAAGAGTGAAATGGTGCATATAGAACATTACTTTTGACAAGGACAAGCAATTCCTGTTTTGGGGCTAGACGTACAAATTAAAATAGTACTTAAGAGTTTGTAGAAAGTAGGGAGGATGATCAACCAAGAAAAACAAAACTAAGTTTCGAAACTAAGAATGACTAGGAAGGCCTGCAAAAAACAAGTTCCAGAAAAATTCAGCATCAAAACACTTTAGTTTGGATAGTAAACATTTGAAATTTAAAGCTGACAATTTATATAGCCTTTACAATAATACTCCTCTATCGTGTACCTTTGATCCAATCCGAAGAGCTCCAGCTTCCAATTTACCACATGCGGAGACCTGACCAAGTGTAGGGGACTTGATAACATCACATATTGGCATTAGCAGCGGCTTTGAGAATTCTCTAATTGGAGGTTGAAGTGAATCAATTGCATCTAACAAATAGGGTCCTTTATACCTGTAAAAAATTTAAGACATCCATGTATAAGAGAAAACAAGAAAAGAAAATGACAGTGGCCAATCAATATATGGCGTTCAAAGACTCACGGTGTGTGCACCAATAACCCTCGACCTCTATTTATTTTTAGACAATGAAAGAATTTATTGACTAGATGAAAGAACAATAGCAAGGTACAGAAACAGAGGACAACAGATGCTCCCCAAACAAAAGAAAACAACCTAAGCTCTAAATCAAAAGTGCTTTCCAAAACCTTCTGCCCTCTATCGAAACACATAAGAAGGACCTAAAGAAATCATCTCCCAGAGGCGTGCTAGATAAAATTGTTGATCTCCATTCCAATCCTTGACTTCTTATTATACTAACATTATGATCATAGAGAGATCGTAACCACAATAAGGAAAAGACTTACCAAGATTTAAAACGAACATCAGAAGGAGATGCCACCAGATTTTGATTTTCTACAACACTCAAGGGAATCCATGACACACAAGAATTTTTAAAACCACATGTACGGAGAAACACTCCCAATTGCTGTCTAATAAAATCAAACCGATCTTTAGAGTATCCCACAACATCCATCTTATTTATTGCCACAATAACTTGATCAACACCAAAACTTCTAATAAGTTGTGCATGCTCCCTTGTTTGTCCTTTGCCACTATCCATACCTGCTTCATATGCACCAACTGATGCATCAATAACAAGAATTGCAGCATCAGCTTGTGTTGCCCCAGAAATCATGTTTGGAACAAAATCTTTATGGCCCGGGGAGTCGAGCACAACAACATGATATTTGTTGGTGTCAAAATATGCAACAGCTACTGTCATCGTTATTCCCCTTTCCCTTTCTTCAGAACTTTCATCCAGTGCCCAAGCAAAAGCAAAGGATCCCTTACCCTGCTTGAAAAAGAAAAAGAAATGGTGGAGAAAATTAGTACATAATGACAATACATTAAGTTTTAGGAACACTATCTAAAAAAAGATTACCTGTAACTTGGCCTCCTTTTCGTATTTGTGCATTTCTTTTTGTGTAATTCGTCCCAACAAATGTAGTAGTCTGCCTGACAGTGTTGACTTCCCAGAATCAACATGACCAACCTAAAATTAACAAATTAGAAAATTTAGAAAAATTAATTATTGGATATAGTTTTTACTAAACACAAGATAGAAGAAATCATTGACTTACAACTGCAAGATTCAGCTGTGTCAAGGTATCTTCAGCTTGCTGAGGGAGCATCCATTTTTCTGGTTTATAAGGCACTTGTGGATGTGGTGCTTTAGAAATAGTATTATCTGATTTTTTAGTTCTTACATCAACAGCCATGTTGTCAGAACTCCTTTGAGGTCTGACATCTTTGCTAGAAGAAGAATAAATTTCACCATGACTGTCTCTGACTTTCATCAGTGCAGACAAACTATCTGACAATTCTTCACTAGATTGAATATCAATTTTGCCATCATGGGTAGACTTGATTTTACTCATTTTACTTTCACCCATGGCAGAAGATGCTGGTAAGCTGCCTGAAGTTTTATGACTTATTTTTTGATCAAATGCTACATCATTAGAGAGCTTGAAACTATCCCCCTTGCCCTTCTGAACCGAAGATGATGAGCTGGCTGAACTTTCACCATTTGACTGTACTTTCAATTCATTGTTCTGCATTATACTTGATGAAACGTAAGAACTCCTAGTGTCAGCAACCGTGCCTGCAAACATGAAAGAAATAAGATAAACAGATATTGATGCGCAAGGAATTAAGATTTGAAGTAAACATTTAGATGAAACCTACTTTGCATTCCCACTCATCATTTTCTCCTTGTTTCTTATATTTTTTTGGGTGAAAGAGCTAAAATTGCAGCTTAAAGAACCAGATGAAAGAATTGGTCTGTAAAAAATATAGGTTCAAGCTGGTCTTTTTTCCTTCTAGAAGAAGGATGTTGAACACTTTTTGATTGCAAGAATTTCAAAATAGAAAAAAAAAATCTATTACCCTAAAAAGCATCTAATCTTTAAAAGCATCTGATGCAAAATATCATATTAACTCTAAATATGTGATTCACAAGCAGTCAAAATTACAAATAATATGTCTACCTATTAAATCTTTGTAAGACCCAGTAAGACCAAATTCTAAAACTATCAATCTGTCATACTACCTTCTCATTAAAGGATATAGAACACAAACACCTTTAACATCTTCCTATACAACTTCTAGAAGATGTAGTAGAACCATATTCCAAAAAAAGTACTAGAAATAAGAGAGTTTTCAATTTCCATCTTAGTGTTTCTAAACTTTGAAGAGCATTCTAAATAATTTTTATTATTATTTGATATCCGACAGAAAAAAGAATATTGATGTGTAGAAAGGGTAGGAAAGAAAGAGAAAGATATATATTATTAGAAAGTAAGAGAAGAGATATGTTTGCAGAGGATTTGAACCAAAGTGGCTTAAAAAACAAGTAATCTCAGCATATCAGGAAATCATGGAAGGGCACTAAAAATCTTTGATGTTATTATAGAAGAAAATTACACCATTTAAATACAAGCACGTTACAACCATAAGAGTTTACATCATGTCCATGACATAATGCTAATAGTTTTTGTATCAAATTAAGCAAATCAAGACAAGCATTTAAAAAATAAAGACGAATGAGGGTGAAAAAATCCACACTATATTCATTGTAAATTCCATGGTTCCACCTCATCTAACTCCCAGGAAATATCAGAAGATAGTAACAGCAGTTTACAAATTTAAAAGAAGCTGGTAGGATTGCTTTTACTGGCCAGACCTATAAAAAGAAAATTAGCAAGATACATAAGAGAGGAAAAATACTTTCTGCTGTCCAGGGTGTTGACCTCAAGATTCCTTCTGTTTTGGAGAAAGAAACTTAGTATTAGAGTTACTTTAGGGTGGTTATAGGCCTGACCTAGGAAGGGGTTGTGAGGATCACTTTTTTGACTTATAACAGGCGTTGGTTTTTCAAGGGGAGGGAGGACTTGTTTTGTATTCAGAGTGTAGTGAGGAGAGGACTGGCCTCTCGAATGCCACTTGGGGGTGGAGGAAGACTGTCTTTCTTCATCATTTTTCATTTCAATTTCATTGTGCTAGTTCATTTTGTATCTGTTGTGTGAGCTTAGTTCATTTCAGTCTCATTGTGCTAGTTCATTTTCCTTCTGCTCGTCTTGAGGGTTTTGTGGAATCAATATCAGTTTCAACTTTCTTTTTCTACTGTCCTACCCTGATTCCATAAGAAACTACGATGATAGTTTGTCTATTTGCACCATCACAAAAGTTCTCAGCAAGATTGGCTAAGATAAACTGGAGAAATAATAATGTAAGTTTTCATTTTCGAACTATAGTACTGATTCTCATAATAGCTATATATCCAGATCCAATTAGAACATGTTTTCCCTAACTTTAGCATCTAGAAGGGGGAAAACGAGAGGGAGGGAGGGAGGGAGGGAGGGAGCTATATGGTACCTTTCAACCCCATTTTGGAAGACCACAATCCAGTAGAAACCACATCATCTGGGGATGGAACACCAAACTTGAAAGGAGCTGTGGAAGAGAAGTCAGGTTTCATCCCCAGAAAACTTAATACATAGATAAAGTAAGGTCAAATTGCACAAGAAAGGAGGTGCAGCCAACAAAACATTTATTGAATTCTGAACTTAGAATACTGGCTATTGTTTCATCAATTTATCATAACAGAGAGCCAATTTGTATCAATCAATGAATTTTAAGACTTTGTTCTAGTTTACAGAAAGTGATACTCAAAGCAAAATAGGAATTATCCTAACTTCACAAATGCACGTCCTATATCAGACCATGCGCAGACCTATTTTTAGACGGTGATGGCCTTGAGTAATAAAAGACTTGTGAAATTCATAAAATTCTCCTTGGGCATTCCCAAGCTTGTAGTTATTGCCATCTTCTGTCAGAAAACCATCACCCTCCTTAAGAAATAACACACTCTCTTTAGGCATTGGTTGTGGCATTGATGCAAAAAGAGACCTGGCCAATTTGGATGCTCCAGAATTTTTGCATTTGGCGTTAACTGCATCAAAGAGATTGTTCAATATGTTATAGGGATATCTTGGTCATTCTTCAAAACCTAACACTATGTATTGAGCAATATCCAGAAAGCTCGATACAGCCTCTCACTCTCTTGACTCTTCCCCCCGCCCCCTCCCTCATCCCCCTCTTCTTTCCATTATTCTCTTTTGCCACTATCAAAAAGAAAAGGCATTCAAAGGGGGGTTCTACATCCCATTCTTTGTGAAAATGTTATTGACATTACAAGCAACAATCGACGAATTATAAAATCAAAACAAATCTCCAACAGAAGCAACAAAATGTACGCTAAAGGTAAGCTCAATCTGGAAGGGTTACTTTTTTACCCAAGTGAGAAAATATACTTGATGGACTGAATCAGATAGGGAGAACAATTTTCTATCTCTCAGTGTTTTCTACGTTTTGGACTTTGGTAAGTAGAAAAAGGTTAGATGCTGCAGATTTATGCTCTTTTTGCTGTCCTGGACATCAGCATTCCCAATAAAGCAAAAGTTTAGGATGAGATCTTAATCTCCTCAATTCATGGAATAGGATTGTTTGGCTAGCCTCTTCAAGGGTTGTCACCACATGGGTTGGTTAAGACTGGTCCTTAATTTAATTCAATGGTTATGGGAGACATACTGAAGTTCTAAGACAGACAGTATTCCTCATACAGGAAATACAAACAAATCCAAATAATATAAAACTCAATATTATCTCAGTATTGCAACGACAAGACAAATGCTGTTCTCTTATGAAAACTATACAATCGAGTAAGAAACCCCGAAAAAAACCGTCCCAATAAAAGATCCCTAACTGTTACCAAGTCCAAGACCAATCTCTCCTTCCTTGGTAAAAACTGTATCTTCCACATCGAACCTTTAGCTCTTAATGGTTCTGCTAACTTTAATAACCCAGAGGGCTCTATAGCATAAATGAAGGAGAGAACCATAGTCATACCACTTTCCAGAACACAATCAAAGGTGAAAAATTGGATCAGCTTCTACTCTAAACAACTTGATTCTGACAATTCTCACATGCCAATTTTATTATTAAAAAAATACCCAAGTGATTCAGCTACAATATCTTTTGCCCTTATCTCAAGAAGTTTAGAGTTCCATTTCCCTCCATCAAACTTGTGCAATTTCCTAAATCTGATAATATTTAAAAAATTGTTTGTATACAGATTCCCAAAAAACAAAAAAAATTATACATTGAATAAAGTTTTTAGATTTTGAGTTCCTACTTATAAGAAGCAATACCTAATTACAGCAACCAGCTTATGCTTTAAGAGAAAAACAAAAAATTATCAAGAGAAGGACCTTTTGCTCCCATGTTAGCAAAGCCGGTCAATGCATGCCTTGTTCCCTCCCTCAAAAACCATGCCACAAGACATCATGAAGAAGGGGGAGGGAGAGAGGCTAAGTCACATCTTGTACTACATTATCATTAAACAACCAGAATACCTGTTTTGCTATTGTCAGAAGCTCCCGTGTTAACATAAGGATGACGCACAACACCACAAATATCACATACAATCATGCTCTCTTCGTTGTCGTAAGTGCAAATAGAGCACCTCCAAAGCCCTTTAGTCTCTTGCTTTTTATCAGGTTCAGGTTCTTCTCCTGTTACCCAAAAAAAAAAAATGCTAAGGGTTTTGTGCAAAGAACAAGACTTGACAACCTTCCTACATTCTTGAGAAACTCCGTGACTGATGCAGAGGACAACATATGGGGCCAAAATGAAAAAATTCATGAAAAAGGGTATAAAATTAATTTTATTATTTTTTTAGAGTAAAAATAAACCAAATTTATAAGAATCAGTCAGAGAAACACCAATATAGATCTTAGTCTTGCAATAGGGAAAAAAATTTAAATTTTAATATGGTTTGAAGAATTGCCTCTCTTGTGTCACTCATTAAAGTTAAACATGCCGACATCCCCAACATTCTCGACAAAATATAAGAGGCAAAGGCAAACAATTACGAGCAAATGCATTAAAGATTAACGAAGGTTTAACCAAAGCAAGATATGAAGAAATCATTAATCCAGAAAACCAACATGCAGAAATGTAAACAAGTTAAATATACTAACCATATTCTTCTATTTCAACATCATAATCATACTCTTCATAGTCATCGTAATCATCATCATAGTCAAGTCCATAATTCACCTTACGAGGCATGGTCCCAAAAAAAAAAAAAACTGCATAAAGAATTCAGATGATTAGAAATCTAGTACATGAATTCTTGAAAATAGACTAATGAAAAAACAAGAATATGATAATATGTGCAAGTACGGTGAAACAAAGCACTCTACCTCAATACTCTTCACACAGATATATCGGTATTAACGTTATATCTGCAGACTCCAAACCATATATCAAGAACTCTTTTGGAAATGACCAGCCAGCTGATTCTGCCAGGTAGGCCTAAGATAACACTAACATATCTGAACGTCCACACCAATCATTGCTTACATGCAAAGTGTGGGTTTGCCTTCTTGCGCCGGAATGTATATGTACTATGCAACTCCTTACCCCACAGGAAGAAAACTGCAAACCCATAACTTAAAAAGCATGAAAATAAGTTATCCCCGTTTACCAGAGCAGAACTGAGCAAATTGTATTCGCTTGTACGAACTACAATGATACATTCTTGAATGCATCATCTAACAGGAAAGAACGATTGGGGCAAAAATATCCCCATGCCAATATTTTGCAGGCATGGTTCCGGCAACCAAATTAGGAATGAGAGAAATTAAATCAGATTTTAAAATTAGCGGGTAAATAAACGTGGCCAAGCTTGAGATAATCAGGGATTGTAGAGAAGATCAAGGGCAGGATGCAGAAGAGGAAACTTACCGAGGAAAAGAACAAAGCTCACCCTATACGCAACTTCGTGGATCGAGTGAAGAGCTTTCAGAGGGTTTTCTCAGTCCACAGGTACAGAGGTGCCGTATCGCCGGGCCTGGGTGAAAAGTAAGAAGCTTGTATTCCCGCAGAATCAAAGACGATGGAGAGTTGCAGTCTTGCAGAGTTGCACATACGTTTTTAATCGATTATATTTATCTATCCATCTATCATTTGTTTTATACTTATACCTTGTAACCGGTCAAAAAAATACTTATATCTTGTAAGGTTCTTCTAGATTGGTATGTGTTATTTAAATGTAAAATATACTGTCATTTATATTTAATATAGAAGTTAGTTAATTAATTTGAATAGACTAAGAAAATTTATTAAGTTAATTATTTATAATAATGATATATTGTCTTCTCTAAAATACCCTTATTAATCATGTATTAAATAAAATTATCATTTGATTAAACTTTAACATGTACAACTACTATAAGGATTACTTTAAAAAAGATAAGTAAATACTCCTCCGGTCCTTAATATAAGACTCATTTAACTAATTTGATTAGATTAAAAAAGTTAGGTAAGTTAGTTAATTATAAGAAATGTGACATAAAAACACCATAATCATTTTTTTTGTACTTCTTTCCCTCTTTTATTTGATTATGGTTGAGGGGTATCTATAGGGATAATTTAGAGAAAATTGATAAATATGAGAAATGGGTCTTATATTTAGGATCAAAATCAACTCAATAATTGGGTCCTATGTTAAGGACCGAAGGAGTATAAAAAATAAAGTAGATTATGGTCTTATATTTAATATTAAATTAAAAGTCAAACTATCAATCCCATAACTCCTGTACACATATTTTATGTGTATTTGTTGATATAATTGTTTGGATTCATTTCTGTTTTAGATTTAGATTTAGATATGGATTAGTTTTATGTCCAATGCAATTGCAAATTATTTTATTCCCAAAATTTTGAAAAAAAAAATCAGGATCTTTTGCGGATTAGCTTGATCAAAATAGAAAATGCAAAATTAACTTTCAATATGAAATATGATAAGAAATAATAAAGAAATCGGGCAAATAAATGAAATAATAAAGAAAATCTTCATGCATATATTTGCTACTTGAGATTTTAAGATCATTACTTTATAATGATCTCATCCTATTCAAACTTAAATCTTTAATCCTTTTTCTGCGAATTTTTTAAGGAATTTCTTAAAAAAGATATTATTAAATTTTCAATTATTTTGTGTTTTTAAATGAAATTATTGATGGTAGTTATCAAACTAAATATAAATAAATTTCAGTTTTCCTATAAATTTATTTTATGAAAACAAAAACTTAGGTCAAATTAGTTATATCAAGTTTTTTATTTTTTTTGCGGTTTGAAAGAACTTGATGTAGTGTAACTATTGTCCTTATTAACGTACCTAAAATTTAAAATTATTTTAATTTTTCTTTGCGTGCTAGGACTCCGAGCTGGATTCATGTTGCCTAGTTGCGCCACATGGATATACTGCCTGGGATTAGATTTCCAGTTTCTCTCTTTCAGCAATGGTGGCACGCTATTCGTTTTTTGGGTTTAAACAGAGACAGTTTTTGCCAATTTACGCATCGTTGCAGTTTAAATTGGTTAAGCAGTGAAAACTCAAATAAGCCGGTTTGAATTTAAATAAATAATTATGAAGTATGTTTATTTGTTTCGATAATTTTTTTGAAATCCCGATAAATCGTAATTTCACTCTTATACTGTGCTTTTAAGATAAGCAAAAAAAGTAGTTTATGTATTTAGAATTTTCTTCAAACTACCCTCCCACACTCTTCTGAAAATCTCTTCTTAAATGAATATGTTTAATAATATTTATTAAATTCATGTCCTTGTGGTAATTATATATCCATAAGTGATTTTAAAAAATAAAAACAAAACATGATCACAGTTCTTAAAGTCACTTATAAAAAAAATCCAAATAAAAATTACATTTAACAATATCACTTATAGTTAGTATCACTTATTACATTCACGATGATCTAAAATCATAGTTGTTCACTGCTAATCCAAACGGCACTAAGTGAGATTGAATCATGAAATCATTCAGATAACCATGCTATCGCAATATTCTTCTCCCACTATCACAATCTCCTGAAATTCCTCCTTGCTATCTCTTAACTTCCTCAGTCATTGAAGGCCTTTTCTTCTTCCTTTTTTTTTTTTTTTTTTGTCACAGACAATCTTCTCTAAGACGAGGAAAATTATCAGGGCCAAGGCAGAGGCTGTTGAACATCAAAAGCCGTCAGCCAGCCAGTTGAAAAAATAGGGTGGACACTACATTAAGAGCTTGTGGTGACAAAGAAGGGCAAGGGCAAAAAGAAGAGAAATAGGGAGGAAGGAGGAAAGCAATGAATGGGAGAATTAATAATCATGTTTATTCGGATGTATAAAAAAAAAGAAATTAATAATAATGAATGTGTTGAAGGAATTATAGTCTTAAAAATTAATAACAAAATATTCTATAATTTTAAAATTGAATGCAAATGACAATTAATAATAAAAGACAATAACGAAGTCAACATTAAAATCGCATATTCCTAAATTATAACTAAATATATGAAATATTCACGATAGAATTTCTAATTAGTTAATATTCTATATATCCCATCACTTTGGTTAAGAGGAGATTTAAGCTCTATGCTGCATTTAAGCCTTCATTGTAACCACTGTACATACAACAGACATGTTGGCCCTTATTATACTAACGATAATAACAAACTTATCCGCTAAACAAATGATAAATAATACTACCTCCGGTCCTAATTATAAGACCCATTTGACTAATTTGGGGAGATTAAGGAATTTAGTTAAGTTAGTTATTTGTCATAAATAGGTGTTATCTTTCCTAAAATATCCTTACTAATCAAGTGTATTGGCTATAACTATCATTGTTAGAAGGACTATCTTGGAAAAAGTGAATAAACATGAGAGACAAAGTGGATTGAGGTCTTATATTTAGGACCAAAAAAAGTTAAACAGGGTCTTATAATTAAGACCGGAGGTAGTAAGAAGTAAATCCCAGGCATTAGAAAATGAAAAAACTTGCCAAAAAGATCAGTGAAACCTCATATGTGGTATGGTAAGTTACTACAAGTGTGAGAATCTCTCCATGTCATCTTTGTTTAACACCGTGAGTAATTTCGTACATCACTCTTACTCTCTAGTTATTCAGATCACAAATCCAACGTCAATTGTTCATCCTCATGCTTGTAGGATCACGATCTAATGTGGCAATTGTCCCCAAAGCAATCGAAGGCATAAACTAAAGACAACCATTTCAGATAGTTGAAAAGAAATTATTTGTTTTTTTCATACTATAACAGAAAAATTAAAGGATATGAATTCATTATGAGTATAAATGTTATATTTTGATTAGAATACAGTAATAATCAAATGCAAAATTTTAAAGACTGTGCTTGCAAATCTTAGCAATCAATAACTACAACACTGCATAAGGTTGAGCCAAGAAAAATAACCACGGTAAGAAAAGTATGCATGCCTATTCAACCGAATATAAATAAACATGAAAGTAGCATAATCAATCTATGAAAAAAAAAAAGCTATGCTTCAGAACTAATAACGACTTAGAAAGGCTCACAAAAAATAAGTTCCAAAAAAGTTCAGCTTCCTAACACTTCAGTTTGGAGGATAACCAACTTGAACTTTAAAACTGCCAATCTATATAGCTTTATAACAGTACTACCACCTTATGCACCATTGATCCAATTGGGAGAACTCTAATGTCACACCCAAAAATTTATGGGTGACTGGCATGGAATATGAAAGAACGCACATTCCTAAATTCTTAAAACATATGAATAAACACTTGCCATAATAATTACAATACCATTCATATAGAATAGATCTCTTGTAATCAAAATATAAGGCCATTATTAGTAGAATTATGCAAATAGCTTGCAGGTACAACACAAAATGAGGAACTCCCTTCCACAACAATACGAACATATATTCATATATTTAGAATAATAAATGAAGACAAGGGTCTGCCTATAGATTATGTGGAGGATCTAAAACATATATAAATAATTACATAAATGTAAACTTAGTTTTACATCAGTTTGCAGTTGTTCTAAGTTTTGATCAGCAATGAGAGTTTTTTTACTATTCGGTTGAAGATGCAAGGCTAGCGGTACTATCTAAGGCCAAAATAAAATTTACTAATGAATAGCATCCCATCTAAAATAAAACAAATACTAAAATAATAAATTGTACAAATACAATAAGATAATTGACCGATTTATGATTACCTTTAAATTAAAAAAAAATTAAAACAAGGAATATATATAAATATAAAACATTTTCAATATACAAAAATTTATAATGCATTTTAATGACATTTTTCTAAAATCAAAATCATGAATAGTGTTGAAAAACATTTTTCAATGGAGGATTTCAACAGAACGAACAACAAGCATAGACACACAAGTCTATAAGGGTAAGCAACCAACGAGCATGGCTAGAGCCACAAGTACAAGTGTAACTAAAGTTACAAAACAAGTGTGGGACCATTGTTCATGAGTATCAAGCAAGCTCGATGTTAACCACACCACACCACACCAATACAAGCGTAGCCGAAGTTATGAATACAACCACAGCCGAAGCTATGAATATAAGCGCAACTGAAGTCATGATCACAAATGCAGGAAAAGCCACGAATAACAAGTACGGGAACAATGCCCACAAATGACAAGCGTGGCCGAAACTACAAATAACAAGCAAGCTCGATATTACCATGGCTTGCTAAGGGCTAAAAGCACTGCTGTTAACAAAAGCCGAGTATAAAAAAATTTCTAATCATATGTTGGCTAAACCCCCGATTCTGATTTTGTGGATGATACCTACATAGGATTTGAGTTTAGTTCGATCCACAAATATTTCAATATTTTGGTATCTTACCATGAGAAAAATAGGGAGGGTATCAATTGTGTGTGATTCTTTTCTTCTTCCCCACAGAGTTGGGAGGAGATAGGATTTCATAAATTAGAAAGGGTTTTATTTCATTATGGAACTGTAT